TGATGAACTGGTATTTTAACCAAGTTACTGGGGAATGGAAACATCTCCCAGTGTCCCAGGCAGACTGTCCCATCCCTGGAAGTGCCCAAGGCCAGGCTGGACAGGGTTTGGAGCAACTTGGGGGTGTCCCTGCCATGGCAGGGGTGGCACTGGGTTGGCTTTAAGATCCCTGTCATCCGCTTCCTCTAGCAGTGGGAGCCATTCCCTGTGTCCTGTCCCTCCATCCCTTGTCCCCAGTCCCTCTCCAGCTCTCCTGGAGCCCCTTCAGGCCCTGCAAGGGGCTCTGAGCTCTCCCTGGAGCTTCTCCTCTCCAGGGGAACACCCCACTTCCAGACACTCGGATTTCCTCCAGTTAAACCCAGTGCAGAGGGATTTGGCTGAGGGCTGTGGCTCATTTTCATCCCAGATGTGCTCCCTGCAGGGCTGAGAGCCCAGCCTGAGCTGCTCCCATGCCCACAGTGTGCTGGGATGTCAAGATCAGGTGAGCTGAGTGAATTCCTTTATAAACCTGTCAGATTATTTCAGATTCCAAGACAACATTTTGCCTTGGAGCAACGTGCAGAGTATTTTGATTTCAAGCTGTTTAAAACAGTATTGCCAAGTCTGAACAACTGCCTCCTTTCCAATTAAAAACCAACCCCCAAAAACAAGGGAAAAAAACCAAACAAAAAAAAAAAGATCATGACTGAAACCAATTTAAAACTAAAAGGGATCCTGCTGATGTTCCCTCTTTGTCTAGCAGTTGGATGAGCTGGAAAAAATGGGCAAAAAATGGGAAAAGGGGAGAAGTGGGAGAGCTGAAGTTTCCCCAAGGAATTACAGGAATTGTGATCAGGAGATCCTTTACACCACTGGCCACAGAATCTCCTCCTTGGGAGGGAAATCATCCTCCCACTTTTTGGAAAGTGGAATATTGAAATATTTGATATACAAATACTGAATAAACCCACAGATTTCTCTGAGTCTGATATTCCCATTTTTCTCCTGTTGACAAGTCCTTAAAGCAGCTCTGTGCTTTCTGATTCCTCTGCTCCATTGTGGGAATTCTAAGCAGAATCTCATTTATATCCAACTGGAAAAGCAACACAGGGGACACTTTGATCCTGAATTTTATGTGGTGCCTGTACAGGTGTGCAAGACACTCCAGAGACATAAAACCTAAAGAAATGTGGTTTCATGCAACAAATAAACTCAGATATTCCTATTATTCAGGCCAAAAGAACACTGGGTGATGGGCCAGGTATTTAAATTGTTCCTAATTAATAATACATTTGACACGTGGCTCTTGAGGAGAATTATATCAATGTCCCATTCCTGCACCCACACAGCAACAGGAGGGAAAACCCAAGGAACCTGCAGCTCTTCCATGAACCATTTCTCATCCTTGTAAAAACCCCTCAGCTCTTCACAGAATCTCTCACACAGAGAGAGATTCAGGCAGTAAGAAAATCACACACTAAGCAGGCCTGCAGTAATCAAAACCATATTAAAAATAGAAATTCCATCCTGTATCTTTTGAGGTTGATTGCCTGGGATAATCTGGGCAGGACACACATTTCTGAGGAAGCAATTGAATTTCAAAAGATGGATTTTTTTTGAAATTTTGGAGGAAATAAGAGGAAATAAGAGGAAATGGAGGGGAGGCTGTTGGGTGAAGGTGAAGCTGTGTGCAGGGCTGGGTTACACAGGGTGCAGCTCACTCTCAGGAGTGTCAGCAGTGCCAGGATGGGACAGAGGGACAGCACTGCCTGGGGACAGACCTGGCCAGGTTTGTTCTGAAACCACAGTGCTCCCAGCACTTCAGCTCTGGGAGTCCCCCAGAAACCGCTCTGGCCATCGAATCCCAGAGTTGTGAGGCTTGGAAAAGTCCTCCAAGATCATGGACTCCAAGCTTTGACCAAAAACCCCCAAAACTCATCACAAAATGTTGTGTCTGCTTGGGTTTGGGACACTCCCAGGGATGGGGTTAGGGTTAGGGCCAGCACTCAACCACTCTGTAGTGAAGGAATTTTCCCAATTTCCACCCTGAACCTCCCCTGGCCCAGCCTGAGGTTGTTCCCTCTCCTCCTGTCCCTGTTCCCTGGGATCAGAGCCAGAAATTCCCCCTGAGCTGCTCCCAGCCCTGATCTCCAGGAATCCAGGGGCTGTCCAAGGCAGGAGAGCAGAATTCCCTGCAGGGATGGAGCCAGGAATGGAGCTGGAATCCATGAGGTGCCCCAGCTGCCAAAATCAGGGATGCTCCAGGCTCCTGAGCCATCCTACCAGCCATGTCCATGGGTTTGAAGCACAGGTCCCTCTCCTCTGCTGACCACGAGTCGTTGCGGTCCAGGAACTCCTTGTAGGACATCTTCTCATCCATGATTTCTCCTGGGAATACTGACATGGGAGAAAAAAACAACCCAGTCAAACATTGAAATATTTCCAGTGGATGGTTGTACATTGGGGTGTGACATCCCCAGGTAACAGGGACTGGCAGCTAAAGCAGAGACCACAATATTCATTTTTTAATTCATTTTTTATTCATTTTTTAATTAATTTTTTCTTCATTTTTTCTTCATTTTTTCTTCATTTTTTTCTTCATTTTTTTCTTCATTTTTTCTTCATTTTTTTCTTCATTTTTTCTTCATTTTTTTTTTTTTCTTCATTTTTTCTTCATTTTTTTCTTCATTTTTTTCTTCATTTTTTCTTCATTTTTTTCTTCATTTTTTCTTCATTTTTTTCTTCATTTTTTCTTCATTATTTTTCTTCATTTTTTCTTCATTTTTTCTTCATTTTTTTCTTCATTTTTTCTTCATTTTTTCTTCATTTTTTTCTTCATTTTTTCTTCATTATTTTTCTTCATTTTTTCTTCATTTTTTCTTCATTTTTTTATTCATTTTTTTCTTCATTTTTTCTTCAATTTTT